GTCCGAAGGAACAAGCTCAACCCCACCTCATCTTCCTCGGCAGAAAATTCACGGATACCAGCATGTACCACCCGTCCATTTTGCGGGTTCACGAGGCGGAAGGTCAACGGGTGTGGGAGCTGTTGCTGTCTGTCTGCCGCAAGTTCTCTTGCTCGCTGCTCGGCGGAGAAGGTGTAGGGGTTAAACGGGTCGAAATTGGTCGTAAGGGAGCGAGAGCCTTGTGGCTGGACGACTGTGATAGGGGCCGCGGCTAAGAGTTGTTCGAGAGCAGATGGTGGGAGGAGGATCTTATCTCCTGGCAGTGTTGGAACTCGGCTGGGAGGTGTGACTGTTAGTTGGGTTGACCATTTTAACAGCGCGGGAGCTGAATCTGTAGTCATCCTTCGAGATCTGAGGAATAAGAGGAAGAATGCGGCAAGGCAAGATGCTGTAAGTGTGAGATTCTCATTGTTCTTTCAGTTAAGGCAGCCATTCTTATTGCTGTCACTTGAGACGATTTGATGTCGAATCCCACCAAACGATGTTCTGGAAGCTACGATAACGATAGCGATGATCAGATAATCAACAACGCCACCCTGGGGCATCACCTAGAAAGGACGCGAGCACAGGGAGTAACCCTGGATATTAAAGTGATCGTAATGTGGTCTTTGATATATATAAGAACGCATTCATCTCTTGGGCTCTCAACATCGTATTTCGCTCTGAAAAGAAGTCATATGTTTGTTTTGCTGGTATGGAGGGCCACCCCTACATCTATGTCTTTGCGAATATGTGTTTTAAAAGTCTTCGCGTCCCTTCTGTAAACGGAAAGTAGTAGCACGGTTGACATTCGGTAGATTTCATTTTATGAGAGGCTTGTGAATTATTGTTTATAATCACTTTTCGGCATAATGTTGTCTATTATTTCGGGCCACTGTCAATCCTTGCACCAGCTCTGAGAAGTCTATCAACTACGTCCGGGCGTTCAGCCTCTTGTGCTGCTTGCAGCGCTGTTCTGCCATCTACCATAGCGGCAGGAGCATTAACCTCAGCCTTCTCTTTCAAAAGTCGCTCGACTATCTCCAGATGACCACCGCCTGCCGCTGCTTGCAGCGCTGTCCTGCCTTTACGGAAAGCTCCAGAGGCATTAACCTCAGCCTTCTCTTTCAGAAGTCGCTCGACTATCTCCAGATGACCACCGCCTGCCGCTGCCTGCAGCGCTGTCCTGCCTCCATTCACAGCTGCAGAAGCATTAACATCAGCCTTCTCTTTCAGAAGCCGCTCAACTATCTCCAGGTGGCCGCCTCCTGCCGCCGCTTGCAGTGGTGTTCTGCCGTTCATAAGTATAATTCTGTTGTTCATCCGTACAATTGCAGGACGGTTAACCTCAGCATTCTCTTTCAGAAGTCGCTCGACTATCTTTAGATGACCGCTGGCGGCTGCTTCCTGAAGTGGTGTGCCATATTTCGGATGGATAATGTTGACATCGATGCCATTGCGAAGAAAATAGTCAACCAATCCCTCCATGCCATCACGGATCGCAGCAAAAAATTCGTCACGGTCTAACTCGTCTACAGCCTCCAGTTGGTTTTCTTCGTCAGCCTTGGCGTTATTGCGGAGTGACTCGAGCTTTATAAGTTTGATTACCCGAAGTATGGGTTTGAAATATTTGATTAGCGGGACACTGAGCAAGACCAGAGCGAATACAGGCACAGCAACGTAAAAATACGTAGTCCAGGCAGGATTGTCCTTCAGCACGTCCACGTTCATCCCGTACAGACTCTATTATTTATTATTAGCAATAGTTTCTCTAAGACGGGTGGAGAACCGTACTGCAACAAAGAGCAGTGGCAGGAATATAAACTGTGAGAATATTTAGTAATAAAAATCACAAATATGGCGATGGCACCCTTACTGTTATCCAAGAAAGCCTTTTTAGGCTTGCGTTCTGTTCGCGCGACTCGTAAGCCTCATCGATGGACATGATATTTGATGCCTGCCAGTTCGAGTCGTGAGTACCTAAATCAAGAAGTAGTACATGCGAGCCTCACCCTTTGAAATAACGCATCTGCTTTTTTGACTAGATCATTGTCAACAGTGTCACCGATACCCCTCAGCCGTTCGAGAGATGGTTGAAGGTAAGAGCCCTTCGACCCATCGTCTCGGCTTCCTTCGAAATCCTGGAACAGCTTTCCTTCCTCTTCTTCATTGCGAGTGAACTGTTTTATGGCGTCATATTGTTGCCGATGTACCATCTGCAGATAAGCTGATATATCTGCTACAGCTGTGATCGACCGTAGAAGTTTCTTGGGCACCCTCCCGGTATTGCTCAGGAGATCCCGGCTCTATCAACGTCAAAAAATGGAAGAATAGGGTTTCCTTTGGGTTACGTACCGCGTCGGAGAGCAGTCCTTTGAGACATGTAAGGAGATAATCCCAGTGCCTACAAAGTGCCTCCACATGTGACTTGAAGCACTCGGCCATTGTTCGCTGCGGTTGCGAGCCATCGTTTTGACCGTAGATAAACTGAATTGTTCGCCCTGTGGTATCGCGGTAAAAGCAGATTTTCTTACATTCGCGAACAAAGGCTTCGCTGAGGAAAGAGTGTCAATAGCTATTAGTACTGAGGGCGCAGCGTTTACAACTTACCCAGACCTATGGATATCTATTCGTGCTTGATTAGATGATAATTCGGCCCAATTCCTCACACGTACGTCCCTAGAGCCGAAGTCCAAGAAACAGTGTCAGCAAGTAATCTGAAGTATCTACAAAGGAATAGTGTCGGTACTCCAAAACCCGTTGCATCCCAGCGCTATCATGTATTTGATCCAAGGTAGGGTCGGTGTCGTCAGATTTGAAGAACCAAACGTCTGCCATCAGAAAAGCCTGTCCTGTAATTCCGCTCACCGTGTCAGCTCCCACTTAAACAACAGATAGGCTAAAACAGCGTACCGCACGGAGTGCCATTTGAACATGATTCACACTGGCAGACCAAGCCGTCGAAAGAAGCCGGAAATCCCACTGGATCTGGACTACTATGGCTAGTCATCCTCGTTGGAAGGGCCCTTCCCATATCATTGCAAATGCGACGATATTGGTCAAAGAAGCGATCGAGTAACGGTTTGCTAACCGCAGAGTGGTAACTGATCATACGGCAGCTGTGGTCAGTGATGTCCGTCCCCTTCGAAATTCTGATCAATAACGCACTTGAAAAGTACTGGTTCGCTCTAGATTGGGAGTTAACAGAGCTGTGTGGGAAATTTGACAAGGTGCGCGCAAACCTTCCCTGTTCCGGATCCATGGATATGATTGAACACCTTATCAAGCTCTTCAACTGACTGGACTCGCTGCGGTGGGGTTTTGCCTACTTGGAGATGTAGTGTCGCCTGGGGAGCAGACGTGCCGCTGTCGCCCTCCGTTCTTGATTCCATTTGCCTATACAGTATAATTAAACGTGCAATGGAAGTAGTTTCCGGGTTATTGATAGATATGATGGTGGGTAAGCTTGAGTAAGTGTCGCGCTGCTGGGAAAGCTGGCCTTCGCCCTAGCCTAGACAGCGAATTTCGATCTCTCCAAACCAAATCACGACAGAACGCGTGAAGCCGAATGCATTGGAACTGCAGCTTCAGCTGCCCAATCAAATTGAAAATCCTCATTTGACACAAGCCACCACTCACTCTGAGAGCCACTTGGCAGGATGACAACAAATTTTGGACTTTTGAAATCTCTCCATTCCGTCAACGAAAATAGAAGATACATAATTCCTCCTTGTCGTAGCGAGGCCTCTCTTTCCTTAGCTGAGTCGCCTTGGGTTCCGAGAGAAGCTGGCACTGTCTCACTCATACTTCAGACTTCCACTTTCGCGTTGAATCTCTGATGGTTTCTAATAGTTCTTCTTTCTGATGATGAAGCAAGAGTTCAATCCTCTTTTAGAGACGCGTTTATTCGGCTACTGGTAGTTAAACATCCCAATGGGCCGCTTGGAGAGCCGAGCGACTTCTGGGTCGGCTTGGAGCGTTTGGTGTCCCATCGTTGCCTAGAGATGAACGGGATGCTGAGCCGGACGCCTGATATGACATAGTTATGTGATGCATGACTGGGCAGAACAGAACAATCTCAACGCCAACCTGGATATCAAAATCGCGATATCAAAGGTTTCTTCTCCGGGTATGAACTGACTGTTTGTAGATATCCTGCTACATACCACCTCAATGCCCCCGTCAAAGACAACCCTCATATCGACTTCTTACGATACTAAGAACAGCATTGACTTTCTCCCCACAGTCAGCTCAAGGGCTTGATATGCAGACTCCACCGCCCAAATCCCGTCAACAACCAACGGTGCCGCATGCCACGACTTCGATAGGAACTTGAATACCTTCCATGCCAACCCGTTAACCGTGCTGATCCGCCTATCTACACGATGCGCAAGATCTACCAGCTTCGCTAAGATAAAAACGCTCTTGCGGTTATATAAAGCTCGTACCTGTACCAGCTACTACAGCAGGCGTTTCGAAAGAAGCGCGCTTAGGCCCACATCGCCGAAGGAAATTGTGAGAGGGCTACAATCAACACCCAAACCCCACTTCCTATACGCAGGAGGAATCACATCAGATTGTATAGGGGCACTCCCTGATTTAACGACAGGCCTTTTCTACCCACTTTTTCTTGACCTGTGAGATACAAGGCTTCCCGTCCGCTCAAACGTGTTTAAGTCGCATGCTCAGCATGCTAACGCCTCCTGGCGCCGGCCAAGTCGGTATGTCTTCAAATTCACTTTCGAAAACCCTGAAATAGAACATCCCCGAAACTTACACACATATTCTTCGTCACTAGATGGCCATAAAACGCGACCGCGGATATGAGCTCAAAAACTCGGAACCTGTTTATGGCGTGCATCACTTGGTCTACCGGCTTTACTATTTGATTCTCTGCTGCTTGAGCGTGCTGAAAGACATACGAACCTGGCGCTGGACAGACGCATCTGGGATACATTTCAGACACTGAGAATTTAACAATAGCCAGCGTGGTGTAAGGGTAACATATCTCCCGAAGATGAGACTTAGACCTTTAGGGGCCGGGGGAGAAGTCCTGGGTTCGATCCCCAGCACTGGCGGTTTTTTTTCTTGATTACTCCGCATCTAGCGAGACGTCATCCTGCTTCTCACTCGCATCTTCTCGCCGATTTCTTTCACTTGGGGATGGTGGACTGTCTCCAGGCGTGGGATAGAGACTGCGGTTGAAAATTCTCGCACGGAAAATAAGTACGACGAGCTCGCAATATTTCTGTCGCAGTTGGGCAACGCGGTTTATCTCAAATCCGTGTAGCCTCGTTGATTTTTCCTCCGCGGACCCAATCATCCTGACTTCTTGTGCCATGATTTCGGAGGGTCTCGATGCGACTTCGTCCTGTTCTTTATTTAGCCTTGTTTCTTTCTTTTCCTGAAGTCCAACTGCCCAGGAGGTGTGGGGAAGAAAGCAGCGACGAGGTTGTCAGCACACTGAGCACAGCCGACCAAGTGGGGTCGGCGGGCGGTTGGCTGATGCGCCATCTTTTTACCGATCGGTCTGCCAAGCGCCACTAACGCAGAATTGGTTCCCAACTCTCGAGGGCTGTCGCCTGTTGGTTCCCCAACTGCATCCGAGAAGGCTGTCAAACACACGACGTTCATCCACCCCAACTGCCAAGAAGAAACGGGAAGAATTGTTGGCTAACAGTTCGCCTGTTGAAAAGAAGAAGAAGAAAATCCCTTGTTCAATTTCATAGGACCAACCGTAACCAACCCTGCCGTGTTGGGGAAAAGAGGAACTGACACTGTACTCTGTACGGAAGAGTTCTATTTTTAGAGAAGATCTACAGACCATTTCCTTCTCTCACACCACGCGAACTCTTTCGTTCAGTTGGTAACCAACTGATTGCAGCAGAGAACCTCTTTCATTTGAGCTTGACCCTGACAATGTGTCGGCCCTAAAATTAGAATTTTCTATCATTCAAGGAAAGTACCAAGATAGGGAGCTTTAATTGAAGTTTGAAAAGCATAAAAGGACACGGCATGCTCCCTTGAATTAGCAAGATCAAACACCAAACTAATATACTACCAATACCTACCTACCAAAGCCACTCACTACCCAGACTCCTGGTCACTGCAACTGCTTCTTTCAAGAGTTCGGAAGAATAATTCAGAATCTTTACCATGCAATTTTCCAAGATCGCTCTCGGCCTTGCCCTTGCCTTTACAGCCGCTGCGTTAGACGACCCCGTTGACCCCTTTTTACCACATCTCAGTCTTGAGGAGCAATGCACTTACGGGGGCAATGTATTATCCTTCTGGCAATATAACGTTGTCATCAGCGACGCTTCGGATTTCACTGATGACGAGTGCGGTTCTGGATTCCTCGACAATCTCCACGGTCGCGGATGCGCGGTTACCAGGTGGGGATGCAACTACGCGGACGACGGTTCGACTATGAACGCCAACTTTGCGACAGATTCTCCTTGCTACACTGATGACGTTAGCGCTGCTATCAATGCGGCGTTCGGCGGGAAGAGTGTGGGCTGTGAATACGTACCCAATTAGTAACTTCTCAACACTCGAAGGCACTGAAGGGGGGTGAGAAGGAAGAGACAGGAGAATGAGCGGGGTACCCGGTTTGATGCCAGGCGGAGAGCGAGCGGAGGCCAGGCTAGCCAAAGTAGCGGGTATAGTGATGAAAGCATGGGCCATGATTAGATATTGCTGTTTCGGGAATTTATGCTTGTTTATTCGCTTTCTCCCTGCCAATCTTCACTCATCACTTTGAGAGGTGCATGGCCTGAGGCTAATCCAAACTCGGAAGAAATCATGCTTTTCTCTCGTCTCGTTGATATGAGCTGTTCTTGGCTACCGGAGTGGCCACCCTATTGTGTCTATTAGTATGTTATTAAGAACCTTGGGATCCGAAACACTTACTGATGTAATACTTCAGATGGGGTCATGATGCCCTATACCACTTCGATCGCATATTCCTTTCCCTCAATTTCCACACAATACATAGCGCCTTCAGTGCCTGATCCTAGGATTTCTAGATATTTTATCAGCTTGTCATGGTGAATAAAGCGCCGCAGCATGGGCTTTGAGGTAGATTTCCGGGTTGGATCATCCATGGGCAGGTCCGAGAGGCAGCGGCCTATCATAGTGTCATCCATGGGAGCTGACATCAACGAAGGAGATATTTTGATGTCGAGGACAATCAGGTATCTCAACAATTGAGCAGATCCTTTGACTGCTCTTGTCGATGTGTTGTCCAGTTTGTTGTTCAGAAGACAATTTGAACGCTTCTCCAGAAAAGCTCGACGGATCAAAAGTGCTCGGACCTGGTCGATGCAACAATTCACAATGCTTTCTGTCACCAGAATCACGGTTTGCTCTGCTGCACGGGGAACACCATTTTGACTCTTTGTGAAGGAGCTTCATGGAGATTAATATCGTTGAAGGCAGCGGCAGACGATAAGGAAGAGACGGCCCGACACGAGGATCATGAAATGTGGGATCAGTCCCATGAATGAGCCCGATATTTACGTCCTTGCCGAGCCTTCCATATCAACAGCTGAGATCCACCGCTCGAAGTAATGGCCTTGGACTTGAGGATGGCAGAATGCATGGTAACATTGCTGATTCTTCAGGCTAGCGCAACCGCAGAGCAACCATAGTTCCCCTTACAACGTCGCTCGTTGCAGAGTCTGTGCCATCCGGATTTTGGCGCGAGGGCCGGGTGTTTTGTTGAAAAGCTGAAATCTGATATGGCAGCACAAACTATATGCTGCTCTGTCTACCGGCTTTACTACCCGATTCTCTGCCCCCTGGGCGCGCCGAAAGGTATGCGAACCTGGCGCTGGACAGATGCATCTGGGATATAGCTCAGACATTGAGAATATCTACTTGTGACTCTCCAATACTCGTCCCCGTCTTCTGGAGTAAACCAACTTGAGCAGGGTCGGCGCTGTCCGAAACTCCATGACACGCGAAGCGTGCAATCTTACAGTGTTCTTTTATTAGGACATAGCAAGCCCCGTAGCCAGCCAAGGGCCGTCAACGAGAGGGCAGAGATTGAAGAAGTGGAAGACAGTAAGTACATTTGAGCGCTTGCCAAACTGAACACAGATTCTAGCACGGCAATTTTACATCTCTACTTCGCTATTCCCTCTTCCCCTTTCTCTTATCCCCTATCATCTCTGCTTTCCATTCGTTTAAGGGTCGGTTGGAAGATTCACTTGGGATCGGTTAGCACAAATTAGGTCTCTTCGACGTCTCTATCTGTGGCGGGAGGTGGAGGGAGGGATGAAACAATTCCAGCACAGAGGGGATCGAATCACCTTCAAGTGGAATGCAGGTTCCCAAAAGGGGGCTAACTCTTCCGAAACAATAGCCTTCACAACAGTGCCTATCGGATATACACTATTAAAAGTCAGTGTCAACGGGCCACATGGCGCATTTCTCACTACTGGTGCTTGCTTGCATTGTACTTACATGCTTTCCAAGTGGGTAACATTTCTGCGCATCAAACCCTTCGCTGTCTGAGGAGGTCGGCCTTGCCAGCGCAACGGCACTCAGCATGAGGACGGAGAAGTAAGAGAGCTTCATTGTTGTCTTGAGTAGGGAGGAAGAGGTATGTTTTTGTGATAAATTGTAAATAGACTCTTGATTATCTTTGGTTTTTTTTCTAGACAGAATAAAAAGAAATAAAGAGATCGAGAGGCAGAAGGAAGTATTTATATGCAGCATTCAAAATTCTCCGTGCCCTGAGAAGAGAAAAGAAACTCTTGATTTCCTTCTTTGGCTTTGCCTCAGAATTGAGACTCACCTTCAGATGAGCTATTGAAGTGTAAGTGAGCCCTAGCTGCAGAAGATCTTGACGTTCTGGAAGAACATTGGCCTCGACGTCCACTTCACAATCTTCGGACTTTAAATCCTTCAATCAAGATCAAGATCTCGAGATTCATGAGTCGAACAACATGAAGCGAGGACTTGGTTTGAGATGCATGAGGTGAGAGAGTGAAAAAAGCGCTCGCGTGGAAGCCATCTGTTGGGCGATCTCTCACGTCGATTGATGCTGTCTTCGAGGTCGAGATTGGAATGCGTTGATCTTCACTTCTTGATCTCTTCGGCACAACTGTTGATCCGAGGCGGTTTACACAGCGAGATCTTCAGGCGTCTGTCTGCCTGATCGAGCATCAGAACAAGCAGAAGCACTCGATCGAGATGATAAAAGTCATATCGAGAGTGAGATACAATAATGCGAGCGAAAATCATCTTCGAAAGAAGACTCGCTGAAATCTTTCGCCAACGAGAGATTTCACACCAGTCACTCACCTTCTATTAGGAACAGGTGAGAGAGAGAGTTGATTTGTCTAATCCGATCTCTGTAACAATCGATGGGCGATGAAGCCTCTTTATACATTCCGTCCTCCGCATAGTTGCTCGAAATGTTTTCGTATCCGATTTCGTGTGACGCCTCAAAGCTGGGGGGCGGTGGGAGGACTCGGGGCAGGTTGCAATTTAAAAGGTTTGTTCCGCGCTGACGAAGACGACACCGCAACAAACTGTCTATCACAAAGCAGGTTGATTCAATTTTACTTCGAAATAATCATAATTCGCGGGTCAAATGAGAGGTACCTACTTGTATCAAAACCTTGGGCGAGGACATGGAATCAGGATGACGAGAATGATGCCAGATACCTTGGGTTCTCGAGAGATCGTGAATCGCTTGTATGTTCTGCCCTCAACTAACTCTAGGCGATTCACTTTTGAGGGTGATGGCATACCCGCATCATAAACCCCTCACAATAGTAAAGGAGGTTGATGTTATTAACAGGAGCATCAATCCCATCGGCTCTTTCTTATTCTCCACGGTTGTAGGGTTTTTAAGCTGGAAGCAGGGCCTTCCAGTCTTCTCTGGTCAGCCGAGTGCACAATTTCTTATCGCTGCCCCTTATCATTTTATCTCTGCCTTTCTATCCACCTCTGACCACAACCACCCTCTATGAGATCGACTTTCCGCTGTCTTCTGTTTCTATAGGAAAGTCTCAAGTCAAGGAGCTCAGCAAGGTGAGTCACTCGCATTGCGAATATCCCGAAC